CCGAAGCACGCTTCTTAAAGCCTTTAAAACGAAAATACCTCGACCCCGGTTGGATCCTCTTTCCTTTACATTCATTCCTGTACCCAAAAATCTTAGACCCGAAACCTCGCAATCGGCATGCTCTGCGAAAACCTCGGTTTCCGCCCCTGTAAACAAACGCTCTCGATCTCTGTCTGTCTCTCCTTTTTGTAATCCTTCGGAGCTGATTCCAAAACCTGAAACCCAAACCCTGTTGCGATGAAACCAGCGGCGAACTGCAAGAGTCCTGCGGTATCCGGCCGACAGCTGACCTGAAGGACGGCTTTGCAGGGGAAGGGGCGCTGTGGCTTGCAGTCGCTGCGTAGCGCAAATGACAAGTGCAAAGCAAAGGAAACAGCCAACCACCTTAACTTAGACGCCGTGGGGCTTAGCACACTGGAAGTTCTGTTTTTGTCAACGGCTGGGGCCTTCCCTGACCAGCCAACAAACCCTGCGGGAGGGACCCTTTTTTGCAACTCACTTGCAACGTCACGACAGGACCCCTAAAGCCCAGGCCCTATAAGGTGTGGTCGGCAGACATGTTTCACGACCTTGGTAGGGGCGCAAGACGCACAGGGTTCCAGACAACTAGATGACTACCAGCCCAAAGTAACCCCAAGTGACACTCACAAGCGTTTCGACTCTCACTCTCGCACAAGAAAGCCAAGGCTCCGCAAAGGGTATAGGGTTTAAGGTAGTTTTGATTCTCGCATCGCAAGCAGCAGCAAGCACGGCAGGTTCACTGGTCGACACACTGGAACGAGATGCAGCGAGTAAGACGCTACAGTACCGCCTCGTGGGGGTTGTAGGGTCGATTTTGGCCCCGCAAAAAGCGACGAAACCTTGGGCTCCCCGGCAGCCCCGGTGAGACGCCAGACAGAGAGGCCGCGACATTGGCGGCCTGCAAGGATAGTTCGGGGTCTGCTTCTTGTTGTTCTTCTTCTTGCTACTTTTGGGCTTACATGTTGCATTTTTGTCATCCAACGTTTTGGGGTCGACGGTTGTGGGCAGTTAGACATCCGGGATGCCTTGGCTTCCAATCCGTTCGAGACAGGATTGAAGGACTGAGGCATAGAGGCATGGAGTCTGGGCCATTGACATGGAGCCAAGGTGACTGCTGAACCCAACAGACACGGCCTGAGAGAGGTAGAAAGAGAGGTCCATGCCCTCACCGAAAGTTCCGTCTTCCTCACGGTTCTGAAGAAGGGTTGAGGTGCAAGGTACCGCACGCCCAAACAAGGGGCAAAGGCATGAACAATCACAGCTGCACGGGCATCTCGACTTTGGGTACTATGGTACCACTTGTTGTTCCATTGTCGTTCACACCCAGAAACAGAGCCACCGAGATGCTGAGACTGTCAAAGGTCTTGGTAATCAGTCAACCTGAAATGGGGCATGACTTCAAGAGCGTCTGAATAAAAACCAAGAGATACCAGGAGTTTAACTCTTCAAGATGTCAGTCCTTCTCCTCATAAACAATCAAGCTCTGCTTCTGCTTCCGTGGTGATGCTCCTCCATCTTCAGAACAAAGGGTTTGGGTCCGTCAGTTTGTGGCGGGCCCCCCTGCAAATCTTCGGTCATGCACATACATGCAGCATACATACATACGTACATAACATAGCATTACACTACATTACAACACATTACATTCATACACACATACACACATAGACATACACGCATTCTGTTTCACACAAAAACACGCATACATACATACATGCATAGACGCATGGATACATAGATACTTGCATACATGCCTACATACGTACATGCATGTAAACATGCATACATACATACATACATACATACATACCGTGTGCATGCAGCTGCTCACAGCTGATGCTCACAGCACTTGCATGTAGGTCCTGTATACATGTAGGCATGTATTTGTGTATGCTTGGTGGTTTACACATACATTTGCGAAAGACATCACAGAGCAGCTTAGGCTTGTAGCTGGGCTTCTGTTCGAGAACCTTTCAGGTACAGGTTCAGGACAAATCCCGCACAAGCTCGCCCGAACCCCATGACGCGCCGGTCCAAGCTCCTCCAAAAAAACTCGGGGTCCCTGTGTGGGGAAGAGTTACCAGAGCTTGTGTGTCCTGATCACTACATCACCACGAGGACTCATAATTCAGTGGTTTTTATGCATCGAGAAAGGACTGAACCGTACTGAACTTGCGTTGCACATGAAGCAGAGCCATATGGTATGAAATGGCCTGTGTGGTGGCGCTGGTGGTAACTGCTGACGCACGAAATCGGATTATATTGCTTTGTCAACAACATGACCACGGACATCACCAACACCAGAAACATGTATCGCTTTCGGTCGTCTATGTCATAACCTCGCACCCGGCCCCAGACCATCGTGTAAACATGCTACATCACCTGCTGTGCATTGATGAGGAGCATTGTCGGGCTGATAGCACCCAACCCCCAAACCCTCAACCAACCCGTCTTCAGAAAGAGCTGCACAACACTGGTCCTGACGATTTTCGCAAAAGCACAGCGCGACCCTCCTCAAAGACACGGGCCAATCCAAAGCGGGGGAAAACAGGAGTTTTGGTTTCGGCTGCCTCGGATATAGCAACCGCCGTGGGTCAGGGTCTCATGTGTCTGCAACCTTTCAACACGATCACTATCCTCCCACCTGAATAGGAAATGAAGCATCCCTGCAACTCAACTCCGAGACACGCCAACGATCAACCCTGAAGACTGGCACGAAAGTCTTAGACCTGCAGGTCTCCGCCTCGGCAAACCCGATTGCCCTCAGGGCATTTGTTATCATGGATACGTCGGCCGTTGAGTTTAGGATAACTAGATGTTTTGCAGCTCATGCAGGGCTTAGAGCTGAGCTTCTCAACACGGTTGACCACAGGCACTGGCGAAGGCGCCTAGGTGATTTCGCCCCTTTGTTGGTGTCTCAGCTTGGCCACAAAAGGGAGCAAACCCACCGTCGTGTCGTCTGCGTCAACTTTCGACAACACTTACTGTCGTCGAGAAGCCGAACAAGACCCAGCCGAAAACTCCCCAACTACCAACACCATGCCGAGATGCCTCAACTTAATCCTGAAGAACCTCAGGTCAAAGAGACACAACAAAAGCTCGGGACGAGACGATCTGGTAGCGCCCGGCACCGAGCTTTTGAACCTCCAGCCTGCTTCGGGTGTAGGCTTATCGGGCTTCTACAGACAATCCACTACAGTACAACAGCAGGCATTAAAGCAGTTTTTCGTTTTAGGGTTTAGGAGTACAATGCAAGACATTGCAGTAGATTTGTTTCAATCCATTGCACCACAGTACATTTCACAACACATTTATTACAAGGACCACACTATTTACAGTGATTAGACTAATTACACTAGACTAGACCAGACTAGACTAAGCTACGTACACAAAAACAAAATGAACGGAGTGCAGCACGATGCCTTGCTGCAGTCAGCGTGTCTAGCCGGTGCAGCGCACTTGCCAAAGCTTTGTCCAAGGGATCCTCCGCAATCTGCGGAGACTCAGACCGGTTACAGTAGGTCAATAGATAGAGGGCTTGGGTAGACAACGGGTTCAAGGCTCAGCGAACGTAACGGTGACAAGTGCTATAGACACGCTCGATCTGTCCCTTGCTGCAACTGAGAAACAAACTCTGGAAATGGGTCATTAAGACAGGCACTGCATTGCAAGCCGTGCTTACCGAGACCGCTGGCACCACACTCATACTATGTTATATACATGTATATATATATACATATATAAACATATTTTTACATACACACAAGCATATATACACACTAAAAGGCACACAGCCAACATGCAACGTCTTTACAGGAAAATAATACGTCTTTTTTGGCACTGTTCCCAGTCTTTTGCCAGTACTGTATAAGAGGCCCACGAGGCTTGTAGTGACACACACAAGCATCGCCCGAACCAAAGGAAGCCTCGTCTCTCCCGAATCCCAAAGTCTAACCACCATGGAGTCGAGTCGGCACAGTAGAGCCCTCAACCATCAGCCAGGAAATCGCAACTTAGAGCCACTCACCTGCATGGCCCATGCTAAGTTCTGGGCTGCGGGATCAAGGCCCCCTCTTGCTCTCCAACCTAAGGCTTCACGGCAACCAGGGTTCAAGGGTTCGAGGCTTTTCGGGCTGTTCGGGTTTTTGAAGTGGTCGGTTGCTTGTGGGCTTCGTGGCGTTAAGTCAACCTTTAGTATTGCAAGACGATGTTTTTTTGCAGGTTGTCCACGAAAATAATGCATGGGCTTACCCTAAGAGACTAAGCAACAGTCTCTGTAGGAATGGCATAGCAATTAATTGCACAAACAGCAGTTGAGACGTTGCAGTTCTCGAGCTATTCAAGATAGCTTTCCGTTCTCGTTTTCTTTCGCGATTCGGGCGTGCCATAGAGACCATGGCTGCAGGTGAGACCTTCGCGCGCGGCGACTTGTCGTCATTTTCATCGCGTAGACCGGAGCAGCAAAGACCATCTCCTGCCATACTTCCGAAGCTACGAACTTGGGATACGGTTTGATCAGGAAGATGACCGAAACAGGAGGACCGGAAAATGACACCACGGTCATCATACAATTCACTAGCACGCGGCCTTGAGTCTTGTAGCTGAAACGCCATAAATACAACAGAATGCTTAGTGCTTCTTCTTTCATATTAGCAGGGGGTCTACTGTACTTCAGGTGCGAATGCAACATGACTACTGAGAGTGGTAGTACCACCTGCATCTCTCACTCGCAGGAGGTTTTGAGCGTTGACTCCCCAAAATGTTATCCCTTTAAGTGTGCATTTACGTCTTGGCGACATGTCCAGGTCCTCGAGGCACCCTATATAGACTCGACACGGACTTGCACCCTCGTGGCATCCGGCTTGAGAAACTCCAAAGACACCGTACGAGTGCCGCAGCTGATCCGGACGATGGTAGCGAGCTGTCCCCGATGTAAGCCTGGCATCCAGAGACCTTCAACCCTCCTCCCATGGCGCCTGTCAAAGGCTGCTTTGAGACCGCTGAGTCCAAAGGTAGCCAACGCTGGGCAACACGAAGTCCGGAACGATGCCCTGCATGAGCTTCCGCTTCTAAAGGCTCGAGCGGCTCGAAGCTGTTTTCGTTGGATATCAGGGTCTGAATGAGAACAGGGTCTTGGAAATTTTAGGTTGTAATGATACTACGAGCCCTATGGAGGAAGAGTGTTGGTAATTATTCAGGCTCCTACATCCCAAAGGCTTGGAGGGGTTAGAGTGCAATGGGCCTCGACCAGTTGTAGTATGGGAAGCATGCCAATCCCGGCACGGTAGAAACCATGCCTTGTGGGCAATCTGCGTCAGGTCATCAACTCCTGGGCAGGCGAAAGTTGGGCACGGCGCCCCCGGGAAGTTGTCCCTTTGTTGCTACAGCTGGTGAGAACACTCACCGCTCTCAACACTTCTCTCGAACCATCTCCGTCGTGGTCGAAACAATCATGACAACTTCTCTGAGCCTCCCTATAGCACCGCTTAGAGGGAGTTGTAAGCAGAGCCGATAAGAGCCTCACTAGCTTGCAACAATCCAACTCGAACAAAAACAAATGACAGAAGAGCTGAAGCCCAGATACTGCACAAACACTGTCCCTACAACTCCGCTTCGAATCTCAGACTCCTAAACTGTACCCAGCACTTCTCGCCAGGTGGCCGGTGAGCACATGCAGTGACAGCATGCCAGCTCGCCTGCGAGCAAAAGACAGGATGTGCGCTTGGCATGGGACCTCCGGGGCCATAGTAACCCACAAAGTACAAGTCTTTTTCTGCAGAGGTATTCCTGTTAGGAGTCCAAAATTGCCTCTTGCTGTCTGAATGCCCCGGAGGTCGGATCTTTTGGGTCCGTAGCAATCCGCGCAAGCACAAGGTCATCGCCGCATGAAGACGCAACGAATGACCCTGGAAAGTCTGGTCCGCGCACAACTGATCCCCAAGAGGTGGAATATCCCTAACCCTCCAGGTGCCGACTATATAGGGGACTAGAGCCCCTAACACCCTATATAGTAGGTACCTGGGGGGATTACGCTGGAATCAATGGGTTCCTGGGAGCCTCACGACGTTACGACTCCTGGCAGAAGTGCTGGGCTCGAAGAAGCGCCTGCAACTCACTAGAGGACGGGAGCCACTTAAGAACAGAGTCTGTCTGCAACCCTCAAACCTAATGGGACCACCTGCCCATCTCGATGTCAGTGTCGAGGCGGTCACCTACCTCGGAAGATTCTTGCTGGCGGGTTTCGGGTTAAGGGCTTCGGGAGATTATTGCTATGGCATGTTGCGTGTGTTTGCTGATGTTCAGCAGCTCGTTGCGTGGATGGGTGGACACACGGTGGATACACAAGCAAACACCAGTGGACATATTTAGTTTTTTTTTAATGCTTCAGATTTGGCATTGAAGTCTGCCGGATGTGTGGTCCGGCAGGGAGGGTGACTCATTGCCAGTGTTTATCTGAACATCAAAACATCTGGGAGAGGGAGTGGATAGAGCGAGATAGAAGCACAGCGGTTATGTCAACTCGAACGAAAGCAGCAATGCGAAGAACAAAGGCCCTTGTTGCAGGGGACATCTTACATCTGAATAAATTCGGCTGTGGCGTCGAGGCACCATCACGGTGCGTCGCAAGTCCAGGTCGTGCCATTCGGCGATAAGCCGAGCGTAGGCCGGGTTGGGCTTGCCCAGCACCTGATTTGGGGTTAGGGCCTACCAAGCTTTACTAATAAGCGGTTCCGGCTCACAGTTAGTCTCGACCTTGCATTTGCCATCCTCATCTTCGAATGGCCGTCGTGTAACAGTGTAAGTGGTAGCTGCGACACTGCAGTTGCTGCTACAGTGACTGGAGGTCTCGCTGAAGACAACCTGCCCACAAGCCACGTGCGACCACAAAATCATCCAAAGCCCGAAACGACCTGAGCAGGAGCAAGAGCAACACAAAGACGTTGTAGTGGAACCGCAAAATCAGAGAAAACACACAAGCAATGATGCAGCTGCTGCTGCTGCTGCAGACCAGGTTCAAGCTGCAGACACAGAGCATATCCAAATTGAGAACGCACATGGTTATCATGGACAGCACGAATACCGACAACAGCCAGCACCGGCACCGACACCAACAAGAATCACACCACAACCGCCGAACACCCGCAGAAGCAGCCATTGCCAGCACCACCAACTCCGTCAAATACCAACCCTAAACCCTAAACCCTAAACCCTAAACCCTAACCCCTAACCCCTAAACCCTAAACCCAGACCATCCACCTGCCCAGGGTAGGCCTCGGCCTCGTGCCCCCAAGGCTTCTCTCGGCCGCTGCGCTGCCTTGCGCAGGCGCAGCAAGCGGCCTGCAGAAGCCCATTTACAGGAATTTGTCCCTGCGCGTGCGTGTGTATACATGTACTATATATATGTCTTTGCCTATGAATCTACCTGTCTTTCCGTCGAGTCTAGCTATCTGCCTTTGCGTCTCTGTCTGTCTCTGCAAAACAGAACATGTTGCATCGCATGTGTATGCGCGGTTGGCAAAATAGAAAGTTCGTGTGGGGGAAGCCTCGGCAGGCCAATTTTACTCTTCATGCCCCACCAGCCTACGTATATATTTTGGGGGGCCAGAAAGAGCTCTAAGTTTGATGTGTGTATGCATGCACGTGCGCAAGTGATTAGTGCGTCTCTGCGTGTGTCCAGCGTATATGCCAACACATATACATGCCTTACTGTATAGGTTTCAGGTTGAGGCATGGTGTACTTGAAACTTCTCAGCCAATTGAAGCATAATGAGCACTTGGAAAAAACACTTTGCCGGGGGGGGGGGGGGGGGGGNNATCCCCTGTACTTCACAACAAGCATGAATGAACAGTTTTTTTGAATTCACCTGCATCAAAGTACCCCCCCCCCCCAACTTGCTCTTTGTTATACAGCGAGGCCGAGTCGTCGTGGAGCAGCATGCATGGTCATCCAGTGGGTGTTTAGTTTAGTTGCCAGCATTTGTGTTCTGATCAGTTGCTTTGAAGACACCGGACCCGGAACGGGCCAAGTTGAAACAATTGATTGTCTGGAGGCTTTGGGACAGGATCCAAAGCGGGCTGCAGACTTGGACGCTCGTGCGTTCTCTTCCTACTCTATGGTAAGGGTGCCTGCGCGCTAGCCGGCCTCCACGGCTTTGAGCAGCGGCCCGTTTCCCGGCAGCAAGCACCTGGTCGGCAAGGTGAGAAATTTGAAGCAAGAGGCAGCACGGCTCATGAAAAGATCCTAAGACTTCAGGATTAGGTGTCTGAACACAGGTCCTGGGGATTCAGCCATTCAGCCGTGGTTAAATGGATCTGGAGAAGAGGCCCCACTGAAATACCAGCCTATACGGATCTTCAAGTTAGACGTGACGATGCGCTGTCGGTGGGTCATGTCAACGCATGGCTGAGCTTCTCGCTGTCGGCTGTCGTGGCTTACGAAAGACTCTGATTTCGTGTTATCGGCTGATGTGCCCGCGGCATGTTTGTTGAAGCGGATGCTGAGGTAATTCCCATGCCACAGCATTTGATGCGGAGACTGTTTCTGCTCTCGCCACCACGTGACTTCGATCACATGCCACTTTTCCGGCATATGGAAGATGGAGCCTTCCGAGACTCGAGAAAACACACCGGATAATTCCTCTAGCGTTGATGTAGTCTTATTCAATTACTGGGACCAGGATCCGTCCATCTTCGCTCTCGGCTGTTCGACTCCAAGTTGGGCTCCTATGTCGCTGGGAGACTGTGGGAAGAGAGGGGCCTTGCGGACATTCCGACTCTCATCCACCTTCCCTAAGTATGAAATGTCCTGGCACCGCCCCGGCTCCCTTTGAAATCTTGCAAATGCACGGATCTCCATGCTACTATGTACTATTACTATCCGTAATTAGCAAAGCCAGCTGCTTGCATGCCTTGCCCTCAAGAGGAGCGTCTCATCTCATGCAAAGACTGTGGATTTCCTATCTGGTTCAGAAGGTGTGCTGCCTTGCGGCGTCCCTGATCTGACATCGGTTTCGATAGAACGCACGGATGAGACCATAATGCAGCATGCCTGCACGTGCTGCCCCCATGGTAACCTCCGAGTAAGCATGGCCGTCTCATGAAATCCGGTTCCATGCATGCACTCTTTTATGTGCATATGGCTTGCACCACACCAAGAGTTCTCAGAACGCCAAGGCTTAGGGAAAGCCCAAGAATTTCACGACTACAGCAATGGCAGTCTGGACTTGTTAGATTCCTGAGCTTGCCTATTCCTCAGCTGCGTAGGGCACTCCATCTTGACAAATCTGGCGCCTTTCATGGGGCGCACCTGGGACGAGACCGCGGAAACAAGGGCTCACAAAGGTTGCAACTGAGCCCGTGCACGGTCGTCCAACACACTTCTAAAGTTGAGCCTTCCATTCAAAAGTTCCCCGATCTCAAGACTGACCCCAAAACAGTGAACCGCAAGTTCATGTGGCGAAATGAAACCGTGAAGATACGACGACTGAAGGCTAGACACACGGTCATACAGGCTAGGTCCCTCTGGTTCGGCAACTTCATCTTTAGCCTCGGATCTTCAACCATAAAGAAAGCACAACCCCACCTGTCCCTGAGGTTCTCATGACTTCGATCTTGGAAGAACTTTAGGGCAAGGTAGTCTATAGGGCTACTATGGGGAGCAGAATTCACCGAAGAGGAATCACCACCAGTTTTGCCAAGGTGCGAGGATGAGTAAGCCCTGTTGCGAAGAGAGACGGCAAGCGCAATGCCGGCAGCCGCCACCGGGCAAACCGGCAGCAACGGCAGAGCTACCATCATCGACCAGTTGTTGGAACCTTCCAACAGGCGACATGTCGTCGACGGCTCACTGTAGCAGAAGTTGAACGTTCTCGCAGTAACCCCTGGGTAGGAGACTGACACCATAAGCTTCATGCTCTGGGACACAAACTAAGCCCGGTCACAGCCGAGCATGTTCGTGGACGTGACATGTGCCGACTGGCTGGAAAGTAAGGGCTTCCTGAATTGCATGTGTCGGCGATTGTCGCCGGGGATATAGGAAGGAAATTCTCTTCAGGCCATGCTAATCATGGTGGCCATTGCAGCTAAATGAGAAGTGGCTTGCCTTCTGGACCTGTTCGATGGCCTGGAACCTTGCCGCCGGCATCGTCGGACTGGATCTTTCGCAGCGCGGCCTCTAATGCAGGACGGGCAAGCTGACTCTGCAAGCCCACCAGCCCCGCAATGGGCTAAACGAAACGATTACGCGAGACACATATATAGATGTACAAACTTGTACATATATATATATATATACACACATACATATACACATGTACATATATATATATATACACATACATACGTACATATATATATATATATACATGGGTGTACATGTGTGGGTGAGCATATGACCTGGTCACACCCACACCCCTCGAAAAACATATAACCTGTACGCAGGGCAAAAGGTATCAGAACGTCGAGTGCGTCATTTATTCCTCACCAAAGAACAAGTTTCGGTTCCGAAGACTTGTTCTTCTTTGTGCTCAGGGCTTCTATGATCCAATGGCGCTTGCTGCCAGAGGGATTCGGGCTTGCGGCTCCTAAGGTGCGCAATTCTGGAACCAAGGAGTAAGCTCCTCGGTAACCTCAGGGTGTTGGGCTAGATTTAGCCAACCGGTAGGACTACTCGGAGCTTCTTTATGCTGGTTCCTTCGAAGGGCTGCAACAAGATAGCAACATGCACGAAGTCACGGGCAGCGCAAACGCAGACCCCAGCGACCCTTGACCTCCGGACCCTGGCCCGAAAAAAGTCCCAAAATCCCGACGCCGAAGCTGTAAACCTCAAATCAAAAGAGCAAGCACCACTAACAAACACCCAGGGCCTGAAAACCGAAGAATCCCCAACTTAAAATAAACCAACACCTTGTTTTGAGCTGCCTTGAAGTCCCGATCTAACGTTCCGAAGCCTGGGTCCAGCTTGATTTGTTTTCGGGTTGGGGTGTGGATTCCTTTATAGGGTTTAGGATCAAAGTTTTAGGGCTTATAAGGGGTCCATCTTTACATGTTTTTGTTGCTTGTTGGTTGTTGTTTCGGTATGTGAAACCCAATATGACGAGGGTGTTAAGGTTGAGATGTTTATTGTAGATACAGTAATCTATGTACTGCGGAGGAAGGGCTCATTTAGCCACATTGCGAAATCGTGAATGCCGATGGTAACTACATTAAAGCTCGAAGCCTGCACTTGTTGTCAGGATACTAGTTTGGTGGTTCAAAAAGTGGCATGTATACACAATTTTTAGCTCACGGCATCGAGTTTGCGTTTATTTTTGGCCAAGTATCGGAGATTCTGCCTTTGGGACTATAGAAGTCGGGGATCGTCCTATAAAAACCTGCGCCGGGTAGCATGGACGCTGCGTCAGGATGACATGCACCACTCGAGCAGGGCGCCGGTTGACTTCGGGCAACTAAGAGTGTTAATGTAGGGGCCTGAATAATTAGAACAGGGTTTGGGGGGCTTCTTCTTATTATTATTATGGTATATAGTATACTATACCCCAAAACCCTATCCTAATTATTAAGGCCTCTAATATATTAGCCGTTAGACATTCTTCAGACCCGACAATAACATGACTATCGCCCGAAATCGCGAATCTGAAGCGAGACAGTTCTGGGGCATGGCAGTCTAGTGGCTGACGCTGCTGTGCATCAAGTGAAGGGTATTCCCTGGTGACTGCGTGGTTCCCTGACCTGTAACGATTTGAACAGCATTTGGGGGGAAACGCTACAAAGGAACTGAACTATATTGGCAATTCTTCAGGCTTCTCTCTCTCTCTCTATATATATATATATATATAGGAAAGGCAAGCTGAAGAACATTGAAGAACCCAAACATACCCAAACCTGAAATAGTTGAAACTGAAGCCATGTGGCGATCGTAGCAGCTGCGAAGCTCTTTGGCTCCCAAACCGCGACGTGAGCATCGGAGTTCCCCGCAGATGATCTACAGGCCAGGGGTACCGTAAGGGGTCCTCTAGGACCCTCTAGGGGCTTCATAAGGGTTCCACACATACAGGTTCCGAGTTGTCCAGAAACCTACCCGGCCGACTCTCAATTGTCTGAGTCTTACGTGGGTTTGGGGGCCCATTATACTATAATAGTAATGATAGCACAAAAATAATAATGACAACAATAGTAATAGTATTATCAATAATAACAACAATAATAATAAGTATCCTGCGAGGTGCTCAAAGCCTGACTGCTTGTGGGTTTGGGGGATTCGAACTCCGGGAGTCAAGCGCAGTTTCACTGGAGGATCGTGCTTCAGTCTTTAGGGTTTGCGGGGTTTGTAGGGCTTTAGGGTGTAGGTCTAGAGTCTAGATCCCTCCAAGCTGAATAAGCCCTGAATGTCCAGGACATGTTCGCTGCAAGTGCTCATGCCGCAGATTCCGGCAAGTCAACCCATGCTGAACCCCCCAGCCAGCACTGCGCCGCAGCGGCAATTCTTGGGATCCACTCAAGGATCCGAGATCCCTAAAGAACATCGCCCCCAGGGGCCTTGAAAACGGTCGGGTCCAACACGTCACCTTCGGCGAACTTCTGAAGCTCGTTCGACTCCTCGAAAAATTCCGGGGGGGGGGGGGAAAGTCCTTGGTGTTGTGGAGGGGTCCTTCTACTAAGGTTTAGAGGGCTCTCAAACGGGAATTTGATGTGGTTAGGGTTTCGGGTCCGGGGGCTTGGGGTAAGGACATCTTGGCCGTTTGATGCGAAGTGCGGGGCGGCACCACGACGTGGGCAAATGACGCTAAGAACTGACGGAGCTTCTGTAGCAGCTCCTTTGAGCCTCGGGATGTATGGCTTTTGGTTGACCAAGTTGATGGTTAGGCGCCTTGAATCAAGGAACACTGTAGCCACTGCAACCAACAACTTGAAATACCCCAAAGTCCACACTCGAAGGCTTGAAAACGCAAACTTATGAGCAGAAGCACCGCATGCGAGCCTCTAAACCCGAGACCTATACTGCACCCCACAGGCTGACCCCTCAAGCCCAAAATTGAACCAAGTGACTTCGAAGTTCAGGCAGCCATCTTCATTCGCATCGAAAGCAGCGAGGATGGTTTGAATCTGCACAGGTTGTCGAGGTGGGCCCCTTGCTTTTTGCCCCCCGCTCAGTCGACCAAGTTGCACAGCCAGCACTAGAGAAGACGGTTGCGAGTGCAAGTCCTGGGGCACCCTTGCTGCTCGAATGCAGAGGGGGGTGGGGGGCTGACACATCGACCGAGCTTCTGTGACCTCTGGAGCCACCCTATCAACACACGGACTAACTCGACTAAACACATGCTGATACCCTCACTGCCACTGTACTGGAACCGGGAACGCCAACACAAACACGATCCCCAAACGATCCGGATGACCCAAAGACCCGAACAATCCATCAACTCAACGACCTGCCACGACTGCGCCCTGAATGTGCCACCCTGGTTGAATAGGGCGACTTCATACACTTCATACAATGTAAGACGAGGCCTCTGCAACTTGACTACTGCTACTGCTACTCCACGTTGCTACTACGCCTGCTACGACGGCTCCCGCTGCCGCTACTTCTTCTTCTCTTACTACTGCCACCACTGCTACGACTACTACTACTACTACTACTACTACTACGACGACGACTACTACTGCTACTGCTACTGCTACTGCTACTGCTGCTGCTACTGCTACTGCTACTGCTACTGCTACTGCTACTGCTACTGCTACTGCTACTACGACTCACGATGACGACGACTGCGACGACGGCTTGCTACCGCCACCACCGCCACTGCCTCTGCAACCGCAACGGCGGCGGCAACTGCTGCTGAAACTGCAACCACATCGGCCACTGCTACTGCTGCGAAAGCTGCTGCTGCTGCCACTGCTACTTCTACTACTACTACGACGACTACTACCGCTACTGCAACAACAACAGCAACAACAACTTTTACTACTACTACTACTACTACTACTACTACTACTACTACTCCTGCTGCTGCTGCTGCTGCTGCTACTACTACTGCTACTACGACTACGACGACTAATACTACAACAACAACAACAACAACAACAACTACTACTACTACTACTACTACTACTACCTGCTACTGCTACTGCTACTGCTACTGCTACTACTACTACTACTTCTACTGCTGCTACTGCTACTACTACTACTCCTCCTACTACTACTACTACTACTACCTGCTACTGCTACTGCTACTGCTA